AAGTAAAGAACCATTATCCTTTCACACCCTCCTTATGTTTGCAGAGAATCATCATCCTTTCACACCCTCTAAGTGTGGGTAAAGTACTATTGTCCTTTTACACCCTCCTAGTGTTTGTAGAGAACAAAATCTTCTCCAAAGATCTTCTCTCAAGCGTCTTCAAAGAAGTAAGGAAGATATTTGACAAACTTATAAAGAGATCCTCACCTTTGGACAACCTTGTGAACACTTAATAAGTTTCACTTGCAAAATCTCTCTATCCACACTCTCAATCACTCTCCCAAAGTACTCTCACTCTTTCTCTCAAAGAAAATTCTAAGAACATTTTTTTAGTCAGTTTTTAGGAGTCTTAAATAGTAAAGACATGAAAAATTATTTAGAAAACTAAAAATTTTAATTTGATCGTCCTGGATCGTATAGTACGATCGCACATCGTACATATGATCATTTTAAAATTTTCTTATATAATCCCTTATGAAATGATTTCATACTCTGATTTGCGTATGTAAGAACTGACATCATACAATATGAACAATTCAAAATTTAATAGATTCATCTGGTATGATTCAGTACAAATCAATTTTGTACTCTGGATAACATACTATACGAACCCCATATCATATAGTATGATAAGTTTTAATCAAACCATGCTTCGTTTTATACAAAAAAATGATGAGTACATTTTGTACTCTAAATATTATCAATATGAACCTAAGATAACACAATACGAATAGTTCAAAAATTTACCTTTTCTTATGAACGAAATGATACACACCCATTTCATACTCTTGACATCATATATATGAACTTATGATCATACAATATGAATAATTTTGAAAAAAATTTTGTTCGTTCGGGGTGAACTACTATCTAGCCATTTCGTACTCTAGACATTGACTGTATGAAGGTAACTTTGTATAGTACGAATAGTACTTAAAAATTTTTTAAGCCATGATTTGATTAACTCTGTTCTGGAGGAACATTTTGGACAAATCGTACTATATGATACATAACCGTACATTATAATTAGATTTAATTTTTTTTTTACACTCCCCTAATGTGTGTGTGTGTATAGTCACCCAATTATAATCATACTCTCTCAAACTCAAGAAAAATATAAAAAGTACATACTTTAATTACAATAAACACTAATTTAATCTGTCTTGAAGTGTTTAGTAGTTTAGAGTATGATTTTTTTGAAACATTAGTACACAAAAACAACAAAATAATATATTTTAATATATATTAGGAGAAATAATAATCAATATAATAATATTTTGAAATCATAAAAAATACACATGATATAAAAATATAGTTATGAAAACTAAATTACAATATGACACATCAATATAATTCCTCTATAATTTGCACAATCATATGCACCATCATTATTCTTAAAGATAGGAATCAACACACTCATTCTCCATAGATCTGACATCTTTTAAGTATTCAAAATAATATTAAAAACTTTTAGTAAGCTAAGAAATTCCTTCATCTTCTAAGAATTTTGACACCTCTGTTGGAATATCTTTATGTCTTACTATTTTCCCACACTTGAACTTCTTTTCATTAAAACTAACTTAAGTTTTAGTAATACGCCGATAAAAATAAAAATATTTATTTTCATTTAGAGTGTTAAGGTCACTAAAGTCAACTGTATTTTCATAATTTTCATTGAAAAGCTTAGCAAAATATCTCATCCAACTTTGTTGAATATATGCTTCTAAGAAAAATACATTATTTTTTATCTTCATCCTAAATGCACTTCACTTGAGCTAAATTCTTATTACTCTTATCACTTTAATTGTACAGCTTATACATATATCTTTTACCCTCTTTAGTATCAAATCTATTATATAAATAATTAAAAGTGAAAGTATTTACATTGCATAATGCTTTCTTAGATGCCTTATGACAACTTTATTTCTTTCCAAAATTTCAAAAATTTTATATCTAAATAAATTTTTATAATAGAGCTTCTTACTTTTAATATTTTTTGCATATTTTAATTCCACCACCAATTATTTTTACTATTATAAGCTTTTCCTTTTGATATTCCAAGTACATCCTTTGTAACATTCTAAATATTAATGGATACTATTTCCCACATAACATTAGCTTCCTCATGCACTGACAAAAACTTAAGATCATGAATCCTACTCTCAAAGATATGTTTGTTAGAATTGTTTAAATGTCACTATCTACTCCTAGAACAACAATCTAATATATTCTTCATATTCTGCCCGTTATCTTAAAGCACAAATCTAATAAGTTGTGTTATGTATATAAACTTTTAGTAGGAATAACTTTACAATCTCTGCAATCTAAATGATTTATTTTTCTTACAAGAAAATAATCATTCTGAGTTTTATTAAATCAATTTTTTTAAGTAACGAGATGATCAATATTTCTTTTCTTAAATAAGATATTAGCAATAACAAAATCATAAGCTAGAGCAAAATTTAATTCAATCTTACCAACATCATTAATTGCTCCAAACCCATAGCCACCATGAATGTTTTAAAATCCTCTACCTCTCTGCCAACATGTCCATTTAAATTGGCTCCAATAATAACTCTTTCATCAAGAGGTATCTTTTCTATTAATTTTTTAAGTCATTCCAAAATTTTAATTTTGAGCACAAATTCAAACATTCATGAGGAGCATAAACATTTATAATATTAATAATCGTATCATTAATAATAATATTCAAAAATATAATTTTATCTCCATTTCTATTTATTTTTAATACATTATCTTTCAAAATTTTATCAACAAAAATAACTAAACCATTTATAGTACGACCTCTACTAGAATACCAAATGTTAAACCCTAAACTATCAATTTCATTAGTCTTCTCTCCCACTCATTTAGTTTCATAAATGCATATAATATTTATCTTCCTATGAATCATAATATCAATTAATTTTATTAATTTGACTGTAAAGGAACCTACATTCCATGATTCTAACATAATTTTAGTTACATGACTAGCTTCTTTACTCACATCTGACCATGATATTGGATTCCTTGCATATTTAATGTTGTATTTGGGCACTCATACTTTTCATTATATTCATGCCATACAAAGCGTTGTTTCCAGGAAACACACTAGCATTAACACCATGTATTAAAGGACTCATGCCATGATTATTCAATAAGCTTTACGTTGGTTGTTGACTACCTAACATAACCATCCACTTTTCACATCCAGGACTTGGGATGTTAAAAGTTATTATAGATAGGATAACTTAAATTTCCTCACATAAGTTTAAGTTTCTGTGTGCAAAAAAAATTCTCTAGATTTTTTTTTGTATGGCCATTTCTATTTTTACATGGGATTTACAATTTCTTCTTTACAATTGATATAAAATAAAAAGTAGGAAAAGCATCATTAATTTTGTATAATTAAATATTGCTGGGAACAAAAAAACTAATTTAATCCTATTGAATATTTTTTTGGGCTTTAGCTTATCTCGGTAATTTTCTTTTACCATAAACTTTTGGTCTGTGAACGAAATTATGTGATTTTGGGAGTGCTATTTTCTTCTCTATTTCCTATGATGATCCTCAACAGGCTCTCTTCAGTTCCAACTAAAAAATCCCTAAACTCCACATACTTTTGGGTGGATCTAATATGTCCCAAAGCCATAAAATGCAATTATCTCTTGACGAAAAATGATAAATTCTTGCCAATGAAAGATCATTTGTAGGTTCAATTATTTGAGCCAAGGATGACCCCGTCGGTAACGATTCTATATTATATGTATTAAGTAATGATATTGGTGGTAAACATGCTTATTATATCTTTTACCGAAAGGAATGCCAATCGTTACAGATCGACAGGTGTGTACATAGGCTAAACTTGTTCGAATTGTATTTGTAATATAATAAAAAAAGTATTCAAAAGGTCCATGCACAGAATCCTTCTTTCTTCCACAGATAAAACCTCAAAAATGTTATTCTTAAATTCATGTTTATTTACGCCGATAACTTAATTAATTCACTCACAAATAAATATATAAAATTTTGTGACCTCACATTATTTTTGAGGTTATTGGGCATAAGAAAACGAATAATATAAATATATATTTTCTTCAAATTCACATTTTTAGCCAAATAATTTTTAAAAATCATGGGATTACTTTTTTGTTTTTTATGCTATAATTAATATAATAAAAATAATAATAAAGATTATGTAATATCATTAGTTGTTGCTGTGTGTAAGAAATATAAACTTTAAAAGAGAATAAAAATGGATTTGAGAATGCAAAACAAGGAGAGAAGCTTCAAAGATGTTACTGTAAAAGTAAATAGTTAATTTGTTAAGTGATCATTTCGCCGCAAGAAAATTTGAAGTGAAGTGGCAATTGAATACAAAAAGAAAATAAAAGTAACAAAAAGATGAGAATTTTTGAATTGAAAAATACTATTAACACAGCTCACCTTTGTTTATTGGTTGGGAGCTTAGGTTACCAACTAAGAGGCATTCGGTTTAAGTCTTGTGTATATGATGTGTGTATGAGTCATTTCAAATTCAAATTCTCTTCTCAATAAAACACTGGTGTCTAAATATGAATATGATGTGTGGACTGCTGAATGTAGAAGTCATTCTTCAGTTGCATGGAGAATTATTCTGATGTTTATTTTAATTGGCCTAAATGTCCTATATATAATGTCAAATGTTAAATTTAAATAAGAACAGGTCTAATTCACATACTCTTATGTCAAGATAATTATTGTTTCCAACTAAACAAAAGCTTTGGAAATAATTAATTGTGGTTGTATTTCTAAATTTAGGATCTAAATATAGCAAGCTGTTTTGAATGGTCAAAATTTTTTTCAAACAACTAATTAATTGTGGCATTTTCCCACACTTTAGGATCTAAATTTAGGTTCTCGCATGAAGACAAGATATCACATGCTGTTGATATTTTTTTTTACTTCAATGATGATTCAGAATTAATTTGAGCTAGTTATATATAGGGGGGACACTCTTTAAATCAAGTTGACATGCTAGCTACTCAATTAGGTGGCAAAGCTAGATAGCCTGCAGATGTAGATATAAAGATACAATATATTTAGGTATCCGTTTGGATCAAAGATTATAAAACCAGCTTGCTCAAGCACAGCAGAAGCCCTACGCAGGTCTCAGCTCTCACAGTAGTAACTCGGAACAATGAACATCCGTGCATGGATATTGCAAAAGACCCTAAAACCTATTACTAGTACTACAAGGTCCTTAGACCTGTGTACCCGATAAGTGAAAGCGACCCGACACGCTATCCTGGGTGGCATAGTACACAACCCCGGGGCTGCTGTGATTATGAATTCCTTCATATGTGGTAATTACATAGCTCGGGTCTTCGTTGTCTCTTTCCACCCTCTTCTTTACCAAACATCCTTCCGTCGAGCATCGGTAATAGTTCCTAATTTAATTTCATAGCATTAATAAATTTAATTAGCAAATCAATTTATTTAGGAAAGCTAGTAGTAGCAAATCAAGGGCTAATTTTATATTTTCGCACCTTGGATTAGGACTGTTCTTGACTGACTTCTTCCCGTACTTCCTCCACTTGAAGCCGTCGTCTAAATTCTCTTCATCGGTCTGAGTTCTGAATGCGATGCGAGAACCTTCTTCCATCCGTGGCAATGGTGGCAATGCATCTCTGCTTATATTCAATTCATTAATCATGCAAATTATGTTTGCATTCGTTAAACGTCAATATTATTAAGGCAAATTACCAAATTTCAAATGATATATTAAAATGAAGAGAATAGCGCACACTTTACTAAGTAATAATTAATTCACTGAAAATAGATAGGGGATTTGCCTGATATTGTTCCCCGTCACGGCAGGAGGGACCAAATTTTGTTCGGAGGAAGGGACCATAGGCACAGCCGCAGGAAGCTCTTGCTGCGCCGGTGTTGCCGCGGGATCGACATCGGCAAGGAAATAGTCGGAGAGATCGAAAGAAGAATCATCATAGTCCATTTGAAAGTTCTGAGCTGAATAGCCGCCGCCGCTTCTTAGGGAGGGGAAGTTGGTCATTGCGGCGGCAACAACTCCATAGTCAAGCAATTCCATGATGGCCGAAGATATGGATGGCAAGCAGCTAATTAAAAAAGATGTTTTTAGGCCATTTCGCAGGGAGCTTCCTAATGGCCCAGAGGAAGCTTCGGTGTGGGAGAGGCGTTTGCTTAATTCTGTTTCCTCCCCGATTTGAAGGCGATATCTTTCACTTGTTTAAGGATTTAAAAAAAAAAAATCTCATTTATTATATATAAAATCTGACTTTTTAAAAATATTCTGATTAAAATTTAATTATTGTATATATTAAGATGTTAAATTTATTTAAAAATCAATGTAACATAAAATTTCAGAGATTATTTTAAAATAACTAATCATATAACATTTTATTTCGTCATTAGTGTGACTTGTGGCCAAAGTGAGGAGGTGGCTTGTTCAGAGGCAGATTTTTTTTTTGGGGAATTTTTGGGGCAGGGCCCGTATATTGAAAATAAAAGATTACAAGTGAAAATATGAAGAAAAACTATAGTCCTGGATCTCAAATGCAAAAGGAGAAACCAAGGACTCAAAAGAGAGAAAAAACATCTGGTAATAGTAAAGACAAAATTGAGCAAAAAGCCGAATAGGAATCAGGTTGCTCTTGTAAAAACCATCAAATTCAGCACGAAGGGACCACAAGAGCAGTGCCCCTGGTTGCCAAGTAGGCCGTTCAAGGGGTAGTTGTGAACTACAACATTCATCATTGTCCTATAAAAAAAAACTCCCAGCCAAGAGAAAGCAGCAAAGGAAAGGGATGAGCCAGTATTCCAGACAACGTCAGATTTTCTTCCATCTCGAAGTTTTGCGTTCAATGGCTTTCCTGATTTTAGTTATCACTGTAGCTTTGCAATCAACATTACCACCAAAAATTCTGTCGTTTCTTGCTCTCCAAATAAAATAGATGTTTGCACAGGCAGCCAACAGAAAAAAATTTTCCTGAGTAGCAGTAAAACCTTGTTCTAAAAGACATTCCAAAGCTAAATATAAATTTGGTCTCATGAGAAACTTATCCAGCCAAGGAAGGAAGGTTTTAATAATACCGAAAGTGAAATTGCATTCAAAGAACAAATGCGCCAAAGATTCGTGTTCATTGTGACAGAAAACACAAATGTTGTCCATGGCCATACCACGAGATTGCAGAACATCCGACATTTTAAGTCCTTTTTTGAAAGCCATCCAGGCATAAGCAGAGAAACGAAGTGAAGAGTTTTTGTGCCAGACAAGCTTATGCCAGGAGACAGTGTTCATATTGCTATAAAATTATTTCCTGAAGTTGCAGAATTTTGGTTCAGAGGTATTCAACCAAAGGTGGCTTTCAATTTGATCGTAGATGTGGATGTTGTAAACAATATTCTCCTCAAAACAGTTAGGCACAACCATCTATTACCAATAATGATCTTACCAACATTCCAATCAGCAAAAGAAGAGTAAAGACTTGCATTCTGGGAAGAGTCCATCAAATCAGCAATGGAAGAACCATTGCACCACGGGTCCCAGATAAAAGAAAGCTTGCTATCAGCATGGATAAAGAGAGAGAGACAGTGTTTGATGTTACCAGCAATAACACATAAATGTTTCCAGTACTGAGAGCTATTAGCATTCAAAGGTTTCCACAAAGAATGAAGCTTGCAATTCCACCAATCAAAAAGTATATTAGTAGAATTTAAGAACCTCCAGATAGTAGAACAAGCAAAATTGTGATAAAGAGCTTCAATAGATGGAATTCCCAGCCCTCCCTTGGATTTTGGAACACAAGTGTCTTTCCAAGCAATTGTGTGAAGTTTTCTGCTATTGATGCTGCCAAAATAGAGAAAACGGGGGCACATTCTGTTAATAATTTTACAACACCCCTTTGGTATTATAGAACCATGAATCCAGTAGGCAAGTGTGTTACTGATTGTGAATTTGAGCAATTGAATTCTCCTGGCAAAGGATAATAATTTGGCTTTCCAACCATCTAGAGAGGAGGAAATTTTGTGAATAAGAGGCTGGAAGTCCTGAAACTTAAGTTTCTTGTAAAAGATTGGTAAGCCAAGGTATTTGATTGGAGTGGCTGAAATATTCACATTAAGTATTTCACAAATATCATTCGCCTGAGCCGCATCTTTGGAAAAAAGGATAGCGCTTTTCTGAGGATTAACCATAAGCCCAGTAACACTTTTGAATGTATCAAAGATAGAGTTGAGAGTTAAAGCATTAGAGACAGTGGCTTTACCAAAGATTAAGAGGTCATCTACAAACTAGAGGTGAGAAATTGCAATATTGCCAATATTGAAAGCATCAAAGGTGGAATTATTAGTAGCCTTGTGAATACAAGAGGAGAAATTATCCATCAAAATGCTAAGAAGTTAGGGAAATAAAGGGCAACCTTGACGGAGGCCTGAAGAGGTGTTGAAAAACCCTTCAAGGGCCCCGTTAATGCAAATGGAAAAGTGAACCTCAGCAGTGCAGGCTTTAATCCAAGATATAAAAATATCATGGAAACCTTTATCAACAAGTCTCATATATAAAAATTCCCTTGAAACCATATCAAAAGCTTTAGTGACGTCAAATTTCCCATAGAAATACTTATCCTTGCCTTTATGATTAAAATTCCTTAAAAGCTCAGCTGCTAGCAAAATATTATCCATGATAATCCTTTTTTGAATAAAGCCCCCTTGACTAGGATGAATAATGAAGGGGAGCACCACTTTCATGCGATTGGATAAAATTTTTGTTATTGCTTTGTAGATAACATTACAGAGAGAGATGGGTATGAAATCCATAACTCTATTAGCATGAGAGAGTTTAGGAATTAAAGCAATAGCTGTGGCACTCACTGACTTAGGCATATGACCCATATTGAAGAAATGAGAGATAGGATGGCAAAACTGATGCTTGATAATGCTCCAAGTGGTTCTTAAAAACTCAAAAGTGTAACCGTCTGGACCCGGGGCAGCATTGGCCTTACCAAAAAAATAATACTTTTTATTTCATCAATATAAATAGGAGCAGTGAGAGCTGTGTTAAGAGAGTTGCTATATGCATGTTTTATACTCTTGCAACTTGTATAGTTTTGATGATTTTAAATATTATTGTTTTATGTGTAGTTATCTCCTAACAATTTTTGGAAGAGTTGTTTTTTCTCTTGTGTGTACTAACATTTCAGGAAAATCAAACTCCAGACTACGAAGACTTCAAATCAAATTCAACATGAGATACTTTGTGTATTTAAATCTTATATTTTTCTTTGAATTAAGTTTGAGAGGGGGTGATTGTAATTGAGTGAACAAACACACACACTTAAGGAGATATTAAAAATTTTGTATTGATCGTACGGGACGAATCTAGTTCGTATAGGACGATCAGGTCAGTTATCTCCTTGTAAGAGCAATGGAACGAACATGAATTGAAGAAATTTTTATAAGTCCTGATCGTCCAGGACGAAGTGTATTCATCCTAGGACGAAATGTTCTCTGGAAAATTTTTGTTCAGATGAAATTTATATTAATTCGAGGACAAGTTACTCTCTGGAATATTTTCATCCAGAACGAAGTGTATTCGTCCCGGGACGAAATCTCCTCTGGAGAATTTTCGTTTAAACAAAATTTATAATCGTGACAGGATGAGTTGCTCTTTTGAAAAATTTTGTCCGGACGAACCCATATTCGTCCCAGGATGAAGTGAACCGACTCTGAAAATTTTAGTGACGCTCTGCAGTTTTTGGGAATCGACCTATTGAATAACCGTTCGTACCGGACGAACCTAGTTCGTACGGGACGATGTGTGTGTACGAAGTCATTTCGTACCCATATACATTAGGATCATTTCCAACGCATTTAAGTAAAATCATCCAGGATGATCCACGATCGTACGGTACGATCCAATCCGTATTGACTTGAATATTTGCAGTTTTTGGATGGGTTTTTGTATCTTTTCTATAAATAGTCCAATCTCAACTGCCACTTAATCTTTTTGCCTACTGATCTTCATTCCTATTGAAAGAAGATTCAAGGAGAGAGTGTAAGACAGTGTTTGAAGGAAAATTTTTACTACTGGAGCGTGAAGTCTTCACTTGGTGTTCAAAGGTAAGAATCTTTACTTTTGATTTGTGTTTATTTCACTCTTTTCTTTCTTTCTTCTAGATTTCTCGTGAAGAATATCTGTCAAGGAGATACAGTTCTCTACCGACACTTGGAGAGTGTGAACAGACGAAGGGTTCTCTGCCCACACTAGGAGAGTGTGAAAGGACGAAGGGCTTTGCCCACACTAGGAGAGTGTAAAAGGACAAAGGGTTCTCTGCCCACACTAGGAGAGTGTGAAAGGATGAAGGGTTCTCTGCCCACACTAGGAGAGTGTGAAAGGACAAAGGGATCTCTGCCCACACTAGGAGAGTATGAAAGGACGAAGGGTTCTCTGCCAACACTAGGAAGAGTGTAAAAGGACGATGGTTCTCTGCCGCACTGGGTAGTGATGGAAGAAAATTTTGTAAAGGCTTCTCCACCTTGCTATGGGTGCAAAAGATGAGTCACTATTGGTATGAGTGCAATACTCAGAGGGTGCCTCCGGGGAGTGGATGTAGGTCTAGTTTTGACCGAACCACTATAAATCTCGTGTCTTTATTTTTGCGTTGTTTTTTTATTTTTGTGTTTTTACTTTTAAAACTGTGGATGAAAAACATTTTCTTGAAAAATTCACTAAAGTTATATTTTTGTTTCCTAATTTAATAAGTGGGTTAATTTTTTTTTTAATTACCCATTCACCCCCCCTCTTGGTTAGTCATAGGACATAAGCTTAGGTTTAACAACCTAATTCATAGTGAACGAGTTTCAACAAGCTGGAACCAAATGATCCGGTATAGTATTTTCAACCGGGATGTCAAGGCATAGAATAGTGGAATTGGAAGGAGGGATAGTATTAAATAGCTTATGAAAGTGTTCAATAAAGGTTTGGGCAATACCTTGTTGAGTGGTGAAAGAACCTTGCTCTGAAATGATTTCTTTGATACGACAATGATTACTGGCTATGTTGATTTTGGAGTATAAAAACTTTAAATCATCTTCTCCATGAGTTAACCAATTCATCTTAGCTCTCTGAGTGATCCAACTGGTAAGAGTAGAGTGATAATAGGATAACTTAGAGTTGATAGATGTCAGGTTAGTATTAAGAATTGGATCAA